GACTGCACTTGAGACTTGCAACATCAATACGGGTTTATGGAGCAGAAGCAGGAAAGTGGAATTAAAATTTCAAATAGCAGATCAGTTTCAAGGGACTGTATTGACTACTCCTTCTCCTAGTTCTAATGTTTTAAAAGTATATCAGCATCCTGGTGAAATTGTTGCGACCAATATAGAAATGGGACTTGAATATTAATTAGTGCACCCTTCAACCTCAGTCTTAGCAAATTGTTTTATGGTTTCTGCCCATTTCTATTGAAATTGAGAAGAATGCTATGTGATATTATTGAATGTAAAAAAAAAAAGATCTTGGGGAACTTAATAGATCGAAACTGAATATTTCACTTCATTGGAGCTATGAATCTAGGGGAAATATGATTAACACAAGTTGCGTTCAGTTTCATAGAGAGAGAGAGAGACAGAAAGAGAGAGAGAAAGAATACGACAGACCGAGTTAGACAGAGACAGAGAGAGAGATTGGCAATTATTTCCTTCTTAGGTGGTCATGACATTGTGAAATTATCCTTTACACTGAATGTTGTGGAGGTGTTTAAGTTTATTCATGAATGAGTCAGGGCAGAGCTGTGGCAGACAAAGGATTCAAATAATGAGAGGCAGACAGGAAAGTGGTGTCAAACCAATACTCAGATCCAAGATTGGTTTCATAAAATATGCAATTATCGATGGGATTATTTCATTAATGCTGCAATTTTGTTCATATTTTTCCACACAATAAATAAAAATAAAGCAATAATTGAGTTTGGTAATTTCACTCTGTCCATTGGTGGAAGATGTATTGGTAATGCCCTTTTCACTGACGTAAATTGTGCTGAATGCTATCTCGCCAACTAAAAAAATATGAACTTGAGAAAAATAGATATTTCCATGATATTGGTAGTCCTTTGCAACTACGTTGACAGCAAAACGTTACCGCACCAATCTGGAATAGTCATCCTAAATACAACAGTATGGACATTAACCATACTGATCAAGCATGAAGGTAAATTCATGGAATTGTTCTTGTCCGACACATAGCTGACCAGGTTGCCTTGTCGAAGTCCAAAGGGCTTTCAGATTTCTAAGACATGTCTGTCTGCAGTGAATATAATGGGCCATGTATCAATTTACTGAATGTATGTGTTCTGAAGTACACGTGGATCTAGCTGGCCTGAATATAATCCTATTGCCATGTAACTGTGCATTGAGAATCTTACCATAATTTTTAAAAAAAATGTCGAATAAACCATATAAGGTTGTTGGCATCTATAGGGAGGGAAATAGTTAACACTTTGCACAAAAATGTAATTTTTCCGCAGATTTCAAGTCTGGTAGAAATGTAACCTCTTTTATGCTTCTGAAAGGGATGTTTGGCTAAGTGGAATGGAAAGGTGAAACCGGAAAATGTTCCAGAATGGGGGAGATCGAAATATTGTTGAATATAAGGTAATATTTGTAGAGAAAATCGAAAGCACAAGTAGAAACTACATGTTAATAATAGAAAATCTGAGTGAAAGCAAGACATGCAAAACCATTAATTGAAATGGCAGCTTCCCAAATAAAAAGGAGTCATTCGAGGGACTTAGTGAAGACATTTCCAAAGTTGTAGTCTATTTTGAATTTGTTTTTCGCAACGTAGAGGAACAGGGGTTGCACCCTGGGTAGTGTTGTGGAACAGAGAAATGCTGAGATTCAGGTACATAATTCTTCAAAGTTTATGTAGACAGGGAGACAGGGTGGTTAATAAGTTGTTTAGCACACTTGCCTTCATTGCTCAGACCTTTGAGTAGAAGAGTTGGGATGTTATGTTGAGGTTGTACACGACATTGGTGAGGCTTCATTTGAGGTATTGTGTGCAGTTCTGGTCGCCCTGTTACAGGAAGGATATTATTATTAAACTGGAGACAGTTCAGAAAAGACTTGCTGGGATGTTGCCAGGAATGGAGGGCTTGATTATCAAAATAGACTGCCAAAGCTAGGACTTTTCTCACTGGAGCATAGGAGGTTAAGGAGTGACCTTACAGAGGTTTATAAAGTCATGAGGGACACAGATTATGTGAATAACAAGAGTTTTTTTCCCGAGGTTGGGGGATTTCAAGACAAGGGGGTATGTGTGTAAGGTGAGAGGAGAAAGACATATTAAAAAAAGACATGAGGGACATTCTTTTTTTTACAGTGGTTCATGTGTGGAACGAACTTTCAGAGGAGGTGGTGGATGCAGGTACAGTCGCATTGTTTAAAAGACATTTGAATAAATATATGGATAAGAAAGGTTTAGAGGGATATGTGCCAGATGCAGGCAGATGGGATTAGTTTAAATATAAAACTTGTTTATTTAATATAAATTTCAAATTTCTAAATTGGAGTAAGGCCAACTTTGACAGTATTGGGCAAGAACTTCCAAAAGATGATCGGGAGAGGCAATTCGCAGGTAAAGGGATGTTTGGAAAGTGGGAGGCCTTCAAAAATAAAATAAGGAGAGTCCAGAGACAGTATGTTCCTCTTCATGTGAAGGGCAAGGCTGGTAAGTGTAGGGGATACTGGATAACTAGAGAAATTGAGGCTCTGGTCAAGAAAAAGAAGGCAGCACATGTCAGGTATTGACAGAAGGAATTGGGTCAATCCCTCGAAGTATAAGGGCAGTAGGAGTATACTCGAGGGAAATCAGGACGGTGAAAAGGACACATGAGCTATCTTTGGCAAACAGGGTTAAGGGGAATCCCAAGAGACTCTGAAACTACATTTGGGACAAAAAAGCAACTACGGAGAAAATAGGGCCCCTTTAAAGATCAACAAGGCTGTCTATGTGTGGAACGGCAGGCTGAGATAGTAAATGAGTATTTCGTAACAGTATTTGCTGCAGCGAAGGATATGGAAGCGAGAGAACTTGGAGACATAAATAATGAGTAGTGAAAAGTGTCCATATTACAGAGGACAAGGTGCTGGACGTCTTAAAATGCATAAAGTTGGATAGGTCCCTGGCACCTGATCAGGTGTTATCCACAAACTCTGGGGGAAGCTAGAGAAGTAATTGCTGGGCCCCTTGCTGAGATATTTGTATCACTGATAGACGCCGGTGAGGTGCCAGAAGACTGCATGGCTAATGTGGTGCCATTCTTTAAGGAAGGTGGTAAGGAAAAGCCAGGGAACTATCGAGCGGTGAGCCTGATGTCAGTGGTGGGTAAAATGTTGTAGGGGATTCTGAGGGACAGGATTTGCATGTGTTTGGAAAAGCAAGGACTGATTAGGGATAGTCAACATGGCTTTGTGAGTGGGAAACGTTGTCTCACTAACTTGATTGAGTTTTTTTGAAGAAGTGACAAAGAAGATTGATGAAGGCAAAGCAGTGGACATTGTCTATATGGACTTCAGCAAGGCATTCACCAAAGCTCCACATGATAGACTGGTTAGCAATATTAGATCAAATGGAATCCAGGGAGAGTTGGCTATTTGAAACAAAATTGGCTTGAAGGCAGGAGACAGGATCATGGTGGAAGGTTGTATTTTTAAGTCTGGAGGTCTATGAACAGCAGTGTGCTGCAAGGATTGGTGCTGGGTCCACTGCTCTTTGTCATTGATATAAATCATTTGGAATGAATATTGGAGGAATGATTAGTAAGTTTGCAGATGACACTAAAATTGTTGGTGTAGTAGACAGCAAAGAAGTTTACCTCCAAGTACAATGGGAACTTAATCAGAAAGGTCGATGGGCCAAGGAGTGACAAAAATAAGTTTAGTTCAGATAAATGTGATATATTGGTATTTTGGTAATGAAAATCAGGGCAGGACTTAAACACTTAATGATGAGGCCCTAGGGACTGCTATGCAACAGATTCTCCTTGGGGTCCAGGTGCACAGTTCCTTGAAGGTGGATTGCAGGTACAGAACGTAGTGAAGATGATGTTTTCTATGCTTGCATTTATTGGTCAGTGCATTGAGTATAGGAGTTGGGAGGTCATGTTATAGGCTAAACAAGACATTGATTATGCCGCTTTTGGAATACTGTGTTCAGTTCTGGTCTCCCTGCTATAGGAATGATGCTGTTAAACTTGGCAGGATGCAGAAAAAATTGACAAGGATGTTGCAAGAGTTGGAAGTTTCGAGCTGCAGGGAGAGGCTGAATACCCTGGGGCTATTTGCCCTGGAACATTGAAGGCTGAGAGGTAACTTTATTGAGGTTAATAAAATTATGGTGGGCATAGGGTGAATAGCCAAGGTGGTTTTCCCAGGGTAGGGGAGACTGGAACGAAACACATTGGTTTAAGCTGAGAGGGAAAGTTTTAAAAGGGAAAGCGGGTGGTGCCTGTGTAGAATGAGCTGCGAGAGGAACTGGTAGAAGCTGGTACAATTGCAACATTTAAAAGGCATCTGGATGGGTACTTGAATAGGAAGGGTTTAGAGGAGTATGGGTCAAATGCTTGCAAATGGGATTAGATTAATTTAGGATATCTGGTCAGCATGGACAACTGGGACAAAAGGGATTGTTTCGTGTTGTACAACTCTAAGCATTTTTTGTTTTCATTTCAGATTTCCACAATTTTACTTCTGCACTATTCTTAGTCTTTCAGACGAATCAAAACGTTGAGTTACAGATCTATACAATGCCTGTCCTTCCTCCCTGGCTCTCCCACCTCTCTCTTTCGGTAGTTTTGTGCAAACACTGACTGGATCCCTTACCTGGAGGATATTTATGAATGAATTTGTTCTAATGATAATCCAGCACATTCCCCAAGTGTCGCTCCACAAATGTCCAGAGGATGTCTCTCAGTTTCACAATCTGTGTGTTCTCTTCTGGTTTCTCACTCACTGCACTTACTTTCTGTTTGAAAGCTTAGTTTGCAATTGGAGAATTCAAAAAGTTCCACATCCAGATCTGACAGTCACTTTGTTTATCACAACCCAATTATCTCAGGATTTTGAACATTGAAGGAAAAAGCAGCATTCACATTGGGGAGAAATGCACATGGTCTGTGTGTCGAAGAGTCTGTGAAGATTTATCTGAAATGTCCAAACACCAGCGCAGTGACACTGGGGAGAGACTGTGGAAATGTGCGGATTGCAGGAAGGAATTTCTTTACCCATCCCAGCCAGAAACTCACCAACAGAGTCACACTGGAGAGAAACCATTCACCTGCTCCGATTGTGGGAAAGCATTCGCTCAGTCAGCAAATCTGCAAACGCACCAGAGAATACACACGAGAGAGAGACCATTCACCTGCTCTGGTTGTGGCATGGGATTCACTCAGTCATCTAATCTGCTCAAACACCAGTGAGTTCACACTGGAGAGAAACCATTTACTTGCTCGGAATGTGGGGAAGCATTCACTCAGACAACACAACTGCTGATACACCAGCGAATTCACACTGGAGAGAGACCTGTTCTGTGTGTGGGAAAGGCTTTGCTTACTCGAACTCCCTGCTGATACACCAGCGAGTTCACTCAGGGGAGAGACCATTCATCTGCTCCCAGTGTGGGAAGGGATTCACTTGCTCATCTAACCTACTGAGACACCAGAACGTTCACACTGGGGAGAAACCATTCACCTGCTCCAAATGTGGGAAAGCATTCACTTGGTCATCCTCCCTGCTGGAACACCAGCAGGTTCACACTGGGGGGAGACCATTCACGAGGTCTGAGTGTGGGAAAGCATTCACTCAGCCACTCAAACTGTTAACACACCAGCGATTTCACAAAGAACCACAGTTGAAGGATTTTACCGTCACTCTCACTATCAAATGAACCATGGTTTTGGGCTGTTTGTACTGATGTTACTAATCCCTGCTCAATTGAAGGGGCTGGTATTGTGGATAAAATGTTAATAACAGTTGTGTATCTGTAAGGTAGAGCTTGGAAATAGTCACGTTGTCACCATTCATCAACACATTCACACTGACGAAAGACTATCCACCTGCACAGTATGTGAAAAGGATTTCCTGGTTCATTAGGACCGGTTAACTACCAGCAAATTTCTGAGGAACTGTTGATTGTTTTTTGATTCTGCTGTTAGCTATATCCAAACCATGTTTTTTGGGCTTGTTTCTGGAGATCATAGAATCCCTCCAGTGTGGAAGCAGACCATTTGGCCTATCAAGTCCACACTGAACTTATGAAGAGTGTCCTACCCAGACCCACACCCAATCTTGGTAACACTGCATTTAACATGGCTAATCCACATAGTCTGCACATACCCGGGCACTATGGGCAATTTAGCACAGTCAATCCACCCTAACCTGCAAATCATTAGACTGGCAGGAAGCCAGAGCAACTGGAGGAAACCTGCACAGACACAGAGATTGTGCGAACTGCACACAGACAGCAGCCTGAGGCTAGAATCAAATGCAGAAATAGAAACAGTAAACATCCATTCAGCCCTTTGACCTTGTTCCTCCTGTCATCTACCTCCATTCTACCTTCTCAAATTATCCCCATTTCCCTCACTTCTGATGTACAAAAATCTAACAATGCCTGATTTGGAAACACGAGATGACTAAGAATCCACAGCTCCCTGGAATAGAGAATTCCACAGTTTTACAGTGGTGCGAGTGAAGAAATTGCTCTTCACCTCAATCTGAAATGGTCACACCCTTATTCTGAGACAATTACCCAATGTCCTAGATTTCCCAGCCAGAGGAAACATTTACTCAGCATTGTTCCGATCAAGCATCTTCAAAAAAAACAAAAAAATCAATGAGATCACTTCTATTTCTCTGTATCCCACAGATTGGTTGTCAGTTAGTTCAGTTGACTGGACGGCTGATTTATGATGTGGAGTGGTACCAACAGTGTGGGTTCAATTCCTTCACCAGCTGAGGTGACCATGAAGGACTTGACTTCTTCCCTTGCCTGACTCTCAGGTTAGCCACCACCCTTTGTCTGGCTCGAATGAGAAACAGCCTGGTTGTCCAGTAGCACTATGGTGACTTTGATTTTATCCCAGAGAACAGAAGCCCTGTTTCCTCAATTTCTTCTGCTCAGAAATCCCCTCTTCTTCGGAACCAGTCTGGAGAACCTTTGTTACACTCGCTGTAGATCATTCATGTTCGTTCAGTCATCAGAAACTGCTCACAGTCTGCTCGGGCAGACCTCACTCCTGAAAACTGTTCACAGTCTTCCAGGGCAGATGTCACCACAGGAACCTGATCACAGTACTCCAGGGGAGTTCACTCTCATTCTTCAAAGCCCTTTTTAAATAAAAGCTTACCTACCATTTGCCATTTGTTGCTGCATCTTCTGTTACGTTCTGTCATATGTGTCCAAGGACACTTGGTCCCTCTGGTGATGTTTCCACACTCAACATTCATGATTAAAATGTCAGGGGCAATAACTGTGTCACCCATTCTGTCCGAGTGCAGG